TCAGCTGTCAGGAGTCTCTGTGGGATTAGTCTGGTGCAACACTTCTCCTCCACACTTCCTGGTGGATTGAGAGGAGGTAGAAAGTACTTAAGAGCTGTTCCTCTTCCCCGAGCAGAATCTGACACCACCAGCAAGCTGTCATCACATTCAAAGAGGGTGTGATGGTTGGTTCCTCTTCAGTGTTCTGGTAACGCAACAGGACACTTCCCAGCTCACTTGGGATCATGGGAAATTATTTTGTTACTTTTGTCAGTTTGGTCCACTTCACTTTGTAAAATCACATCCACATTACCTGTCACATCGCACATACAAATCTCACTGTAGAAATGTTCCTTGAATGTGTGGGGCAATGTTCCCGCTGTTGTGCATTTTTTCTTTTCTTTTTTTTTTTACTATACCCCTCAACACTTTTTTTGTAGTGGAAGCACAGATGTGTCTGTCTTTTTTTTCCTTGTCATTGAGTCTGTTCAGCTCCACCTGCCGTACTTTTGTCTGCTTCAGCTTTGGAATAAAAAACACATAAAGCACAAACCTGCTCACTTGTTATTTTCTGAATACGAAATAATTTTGACAGCGCGAGTAAGAAAAACTGACAGGAGGCTTTAAACCTCTAGATGATATTCTTTTGTGAAATATATTTAAAAAGAAAAATACTGGCCTTCAGCGGCACCAAGCACAATATGGCCTGTAAAGAAATTGAGAAATTATGTTTATAAATGGTTGTCTCGATTTTAGTGTTTTTCTACAAAGCAGATATTTAAATGGTTAAAATCAAGGTAATACAAATTTTTACTTACTTATAACTATTATTACTTACTATTTATTACTTACTAATTATTTGTGTAGTGTTTATTATATATACATACATATAATATTGTAATAAGACTTGAAAATGATATTCATTACAGTTGATATGACCTCAATCTCAGTTCTGCCTCTATATCCAAAGAAAAGGAACTGATCTTATTATTATTTATAGGTTAAAGTTATCTGGCTGTTTTGGATCTGTGTTGCCAGAAAAATACACTTATTTGAATCTAAAAGTAATACAAACACTACTACTTTTAAATGTGCATTACCTGCTCTCTTTCCATGTCTGACCTCTGCCTCCTCATTGAGGGAATTTTTCAGCCCAGTCACATCTCAGCCATGACTCAGGTTGTCGGGTCGGCTTGGGATTTGTGGGTTTGACACGGAGTGCATAGACTCAACTTGTGACAAACTTGTATCATGCTTGCTAGCATGAGTGACTCCTGGAATATACACATTTTCGTAGCAAAACAATGTGGTGACATTGAGTCAACACTGTCATTTGCCAACACTGGGGTGTTTAGAGCAGTTTCCCACTAGTGCACTTGCGTATTTTTCTTCAGGTGCGGGTCAGCGAAGACTCAGCTTCCAGCTTTGAGTGTGACGAAACCTACAGTCATCTCTCTCCGCCATGCAAGTCAGGTAAGTGAGAGAGGGGGTAAACAGGGCTTCTGGGGAGTCCCTCTGCTGTGGAGCTCCTCTCCCCATGCCATGCTTACAGCAAACCTCAGGACGTCTACCCAGCACGCACTTCACAAAAGGAGGGAGGGCCCTGCATGTTAAACATTCGATTGTCAGTGGTAGGAAACAGAATATATGGTATAAAACGCAGTAGGTAGGTAAAATTCAGAAAGGTTAGGGGTACCTTCTGTATGTAGCTTCTGAAAGTCATCATCTCAGCACTTCGACGTCATAGATTTTCCATCAACATTATTCTCAAATACGAAAACGTGATAATTCATTTTTCTAGATTGGAGACTTAAACTTGTCAGTGTGGTGGCCCCAATATGCCATTATTGTGCACAACCATTAAAAGGTGTGGGGAAATATGTAGGATGAAGACTTCTCAGCTGAGGTGGTGACACAGCAGGTTTTGAAGTGGCATGCCATCCTCATTCACATGCAAACACACATCCTCTCTGACAACATGAAGACTTGGCTGACCCATTCCAGACAAGGTAGCAATAGTGAGATGCCCCGCATTATCTCAGTAAGAAACCCACAACTCAGAGTGAACCTCAGCAAGATCTTCAGACATGATCAAATGGAAAGGCTTTTGCTATTAGTTTTTCATAAAAACACAGCAGACACTAGTCTTTCACATGTGCTGGAAATCTGACAGTTCTTACTGTCATGTACAGCTCTAGGCGCATGATGTGGTTGCTGTGGTTCCTTTGATTTATTTTCTTCTGGTGATTTTTTTGCTGATTATTTTAAAAACATGCTTCTTTTGTAGGAAAATATTCTTCACTGTTTTCTAAGAAAGGTTGCAGTGGGAAACTACATAAAGTTCAGTCAGAAAGTATTCAGACCCCTCCACTTTTTTAACATTTTGTTATTTTGCAGCCTCGTGATAAAAAAGTGTAAATTATTTTTTTCTCTCATCAATCTACACTCAACACACCCTACTGACAAAGTGAAAAAATTATTTTACAAATCTATTAAAAAGGAAAATGTGAAATATCACATTAACATAAGTGTTCGGACGCTTTGCTCTTATACTTTCAGCTGATTGGACATGGTTTGGGAAGGCACACTCCTGTCTATATAAGGTTTTACATCAAAATCCAGAACATAAAAGCCATGAGCACAGTGGCCTCCAAAATTCTTGCAAAAGTTTGGAACAGCCAGGACTCTACCTGGAGCTTGCTGCCCGGCCAAACTGAGCAATCGGGGGAGAAGGAACCTGATCGTTACTCTGGCTGAGATCCTGTGGAGATGGAAGAAACTTGCAGAAGGGCAAACATCACTGTAGCACTCCACCGATCTGGGATTTATGGCAGTGACCAGATGTAAGCCTGTCCTCAGTGAAAGTTTGCAAAAAAGCTTAACCTAAAGGACTCAATATTACTCAAAATATTAAACTGCTTGGCCTCAATTCTAAGTGTCACGTCTGGAAGAAACCAGGTACCGCTCATCGCCTGCCCAATACCATCCCAATTGTGAAGTGTAGTGGTGGCAGCATAATACTGCAGGGGTGTTTTTCAGCATCAGGGACTGGGAGGCAGGTCAGGATTGAGAGAAGAAAGATCCTTAATGGAAACCGGGTCCAGAGCACATGGCCAAAACAACGCAGGAGTGGCTTAGGAACAACTCTGTTAATGTCTTTGAGTGGCCCATCCAGAGCCCTTTCCTTTTTAATAAATTTGCACTATTTCAGCACAAGGCTGGTCTGAGGACTTTCTGAATACACTGTAAATATACATTATATCTGTCGGTCAGCAATAATTTAAAATGGGACTTGTCATTATGCTAATTGGTGCCCAACAACGGTGACAAAAAGACATTTTTTTGTTTCTGGCAGCTTATGTGCTTTTTTGAAAATGTAACCTATTATGGTCATTTCCATATTCAGGAAGTACCCAGACTGCCACTTGTTGCACAATGATATATTTGTCATATATTAAGTGGTGACTTATTGGTGTTATGAAATATCAAGTTGTCAAGGACTTGGTCAGAGCTTTTCCAATGACAGAGACAGGCAAGCCGTGAGAAGGAGGGTGAGTGTTAAAGCTTTTCCTCTAGCCAGAATTTTTTTTTTTTTAATTCACCATTCAGCAGCTCTTTAATCATAAATAGAGAGATGTGTGTATTATTTATTTTGAGATATTGGGTATTTGTATTTTTTTCTAAGGTGGGGGAAGGGCCAAAGAAAATATGAATCATGCTAAGGAGGGCCTTTGTTGTCAAATGAAATATAAGATTCAGCTCTCTTCATATATTCCTGTGTGCCTAGATAAAGGCAGTGGGGTCTGAACCCAAGACCCTCTCGTGGTGAGGATTTGCAATATTGTAGCTGTTGAGGGGAACGTGATATGACATGGTAGATCCAGATTTTAAATACTGAAAGTAACCATTTTTGAGATAATTCAAAACAGTGGAACTGTGGAAGAGCCTGTAACTGCGTGTGCCAGTTTTAAATAGTGCACTAGTTCATGATAATACTAATGACCGTCGTTCTCCATTTTTTTTCTCACCCTGCCTCGAACCCACTGCTCTCTGAACAGAGGCGTCCAGTCATTACATAACAGCCAGACATGATCTTAACCGATAAAGAGATTCAAAACGTAAACACTTGTTTTGAGGACGCTGAAGTCTGAATCAACACTGAAACTCATAAAGAAGTGGATACAACTCTAATTAACATGACTCATCCTTGAGGAAACTCTTATTAACACTGGTCAAAATACATTGGCCATGGTCTATTACACAAATGTTATGAATGATATCTTTGCATAAGGTACTGTCATTGCTGTAATGATACTATTCAGATCATCCCACACTGACTTAAGAAGTGACTGGTGAATAATCCTAGAGTAGTTTCAGTGCAGAAACTTGAGTCAAGTCAGGAGTCAGTGAAGTCTGGAACTAGACACTTGTGCAACTTCGCTGTCAAGAGTAATGCATGTGCTTACGTTCAAATTTTATCACAAGATGCAAGCCACGTCAGAATGCCATTTTTGTTTAAAAGATTCTTAGTCATGCAGCACTGCACTGAGGTATAGCTGATGAATCAAGCACTTTCCCCTTTTGGCTCGGGTACTGCAAAGATGTTGACATATCAGCAAAAAAGAAAAAAAAATTTGAATGCAGGGCTGCTGTTTTACCCCGTGTACTAATTCTGTTTTGTATGTGCCTCTGCGTGACTAAGTGAGATTTCTTTTGCATGTGTGAGTGCATGATCAAGTGTGCATATGCCATGAGGGTGAGGCTGGCTACTTACAGTTACGGTAAGTTAAGATACAGCAAGGCTGCTGCTGGTAAATGTATATGGGTCACGTTTGAGGTTAGTGCATCAGCCGACTGAATTAACACTCTAGCGCTTCCCCACATACAGACTGCAATTCTGCAGGATGTGACATATTCAGTGCTCTATCAGTTACCCACTCCTAATGAATGGCAAATGATAGCAGCTGTGTCATCTTGTAAAATGAAATCAAAGGAAGCATGCATTATTAGTAAGCTGTTTATTAACAATAAAAAACTATCCATAATAAATACAAATATGAATATGAATACATAAAATAAATACAACAGGCTCAGAGGTGACAGTGTCATACAATTTCATAAGTGTAAGACTCAATATGGTCCCATGAAGATATCTGTCCACAGGACAAAAAAGTAAAGAGAAGTCTCAGCACAGCAAGACATCAGTTTAGCAGGTTCATAAAAGACAATGGGTGGGAGTCAATTTTTTTTTCTCCTGAGAGGAACAAAGTCACATTTTGATTTGGGTCAGCAAGTCATCAGGCAGAGGCCACTAAGTTCCTGTGCCGTTTGGAGGCCAGGTATATCTCAATGTAGTTAAACAGCAAATCCAGCTCGCCCATGGCCTTATACAGACCTTTACTCTCCATCTGTGGACAAACAGATGTTTCAGTTAATTAAAATGCTCTGTCAAAATACAAGCATGCATATATGTACACTGATCATTTAACATATTTTACCATTAAAGATTCAATTTGAAACTCACCTGAGTGTAAGTAGAGTTTAGGTTTCTGATGTCAAACTGTTTCTTGCAGGAGAAGTAGTTTCTCTGTAAGAGGAAGAATAGATGTTAGTACAGGGATTAACAACTTTCTTTAGATTGTCATGCCCTGAGTTCTCCACCCCAGAGAGCAACATGAGATGCAAACACTTGATGAGCAGCCTTATGCATTCCTCTCTTCCCCTTTTGCATCAACCAAATGATGCACAGTGCACACAGCTGCAGTTAAGGAACGACTGACGAATGCAATATTACAATCTGTCCTGTGAGCCATCACTGAACTCTTCCCCTTACTGGCATAGTCATCGATTTTGGATGCAGTTCAAATCAGGAAGGTGGTTTAACTGATTTGTCTGTGGCAGACAAAAGTCCAAAAGTTTTAACTGAGAGACAACTAATCACGTTTCCCTGAAAGACAACCTGGCTAGTAACGTTTGAAGACAGACACCAATTTTTGTGTTTTATGAGCAACAATTCGTCCTAATAGTCGACGCGTCCAAACTGAACCTTTCATTACTGTGAAATACTCGACAATTATTTTTGAACTTTTATCTCTCTCTCAAATTAAATCGTAGGCAACTGGACTTGTATTTGTCTGTGGAAGACGTTTCGCCTCTTATCCAAGCGGCTTCATCAGTTCTTATGTATTGGTCTCTCTAGTCCGCATTAGTCTGACCCTTTTGAACTTTTGAACTGTCATATCAGGATCCCCCAGGAGCAGTATGTTACATTTTCAATGCTGGAACTTCATACTTTAAACTTGAACATCCATCTTAATTCTGGTCCTCACTAAATATTCAATGTCACAGCGATTCTGCACAAGAATTCGCGTCTTCAGCACGTGGACAAATGTGCTTCTGCACGTTATTTAGCAGCCTCCAGCAGCGCGCACTCGGTGCGTATTTACATCTTTATTCCCCTGTAGGAGTAACACGTGTGTCGGCTACTCACACATTTGGTGACATCACTCTTGAGCTCGTCGAAGATCTGCTGGATGGACTCCATGTGAGGCTTCAACGCCCTGGTGTCCTCCGTCACTTCGGCCATGGCTGTGGGCAGCACCGTGCTCAGGTAAAAGTCCAGTATGCTGTTCATTGCGTGGCAGCCAAACGGGCTCTGATGGGGGAGGAAGCGATCAGCCTGGTTATAGGATGCCGTTTAACTCTTTACTAGTGTACAGGATGCTCGCCTTGTCGGTAATGTTAGGTTCTGTGTATTTTCTGATTAAATTTGAGGAGCAGCGGATTTTTTTTTTTGTACCACAATTAATGAACATCGTGGAGAGTTTACACAGAAACTTACTTTAAAAGAGTCCTCGACGCTCTGGTCTAGCAGTGCTGTCTCCAAGTCATTGTTTGCTTCCTGTAAGCAGAAAAAGGTTGAGCTTAGTGACCGTGAGCGGTCGCAGAGGCTGCAGGCAGACAGGGACACCTGCCCACAGGAGTGGTGGGGATCTGTCCAGATGATGTTGCACCATCTGTCAAGGTACTTGCAGAGTAAATGCTGTGCTTGTACTCACGTAGAAGTCTCTGATCTGTGAATAGTCCTCTCTGAGCTTCTTGAGCCTGACAGGGAATCCCTCCACGAAACGACAACACTGGTTATTGCACATGGGACTGCACCAGGACGTGCTGAGGAGGGACAAGAGAACCAGGATGGGCAGGAGGAGAGGCTGAGGAGTCATGCTGGTGGACAAGCTGCTGAAGTCTTCTGGCTGGAGAGAAGAGAAGAGTGGGACCTCAGGAGTTCAGATGCTGCTGGCTTGATGGAGTCAGTGGACCAAGTTTTCTGATAGGAGAAATATTCTTGGTATGATCTTGCTCAAGATCTGAGGAGATAAGTGCATATTTTTGGGCTCATCTGCTGTCTTATTTATAGTGAAAAATTGACTTTAAAAGTGGGGGAGGAGACTGACAGGAAGAAACGGGTTAAACATAGGCCTACTTCATACAAGGAGGGGAAAATTTTTTTCACAATCATACATTACACATGGGTTTGTCCTCACATGAGACAGGCTGGCGTTAATGATAATTATTGAGTATCAAGGAAAGAAAAATCTGACAAAGCACTTATGGAATTTTGATATGGCATCATTGCATTACATAATTACTATAAACACAGACCCACACACACACACACACACACACACACACACACCCCACACCAACCCCCGCACACACACACACACACACACACACACACATATATATATATATATAAATATATATATATATATATATATATATATATATATATATATATATATAACACATATATATTTATCATGGGAGGAGTAACCCACATGTAATGTATGAATGTTTTAATTATATTACTATTATAGTAGTATACTACTATACTATATGCTTACTAGTCTTTATCCAGTAAACTAGCACAGGTATGGAACTTGCAAAAATTTGTTTCATTATTACAATAAAAGCAGTAAACCATATTATATTATTCCATGCACTCTCACAATAACAGAGGAAATAGTGCCACTCACATAGAAAAATGATATTAAGTTGTGGTTAGGGTTTGATGACGCTGTGAATTCCCTCTGTATGTCAGACATGCGTAATAAAATTGCCAAGAGTGAAGACACTGACTTTGCTGTAAATGGCAAACGTCATGGTATTCTCTCTTGAGATTCCATTATCTTTGTCAGAGAGTAAATAGTTGATGAAGTTTGCACATATCTATATCTACCGTATATTTACATCTATAAATGTACAGATGGGTGACAAATCGTCTTTCTCCAGTAGAGTTCAAGAAACTTGTAGATTCAGTGTCAAGGTGCACTGAAGTTGCTCTGTTGGCACGTGGTTTTCCTACACCACACTAACACACTTTTGGTTTTCCTTTAGATGTATATTATGTAACATGTATGTATCTGTATATATAGAGAGAAAAGGAGAAATCTCATGGAGAAGTGGTGTATGACCCTAAGTGGTGGCAGCGTATGTGGTATTTTCCCGTCAGTACAGTACTTTTTCTGTTGTATGCAATGTGCACCTTCATGCATGCTACAGCTCACTATGTGCAGTTTAAATATTTATGTTGGGCAAGACTGGTATTTTGAAAAATATTGTAGGGAAACCCATTTCAAGTGATTATTGCTTCACAATCTGTGCAACTAAACTTCAGGATGACCTGTCATGGTTCAGGTTAAATTTCATTTAGTAGAATTAGACAAATAAATGTCATGATACAGTGACCACGGACAAATGTGGAAAAACAGTGCACCAATACTAGAAGTAGAGGTTTAATAGCAGAACTAAGATTGACTCTACTTTTTGTTACGTCTGTGACCGACTGTCTGCAGATTTGAGAATTGTGTCACAAATATAACCAAATGTGAAGTCAGTAGCAGTGTTTCTGCAGCCAGTTAGCCTACAGGAGCCTGTTTTAATCCTAAAGGTGTCATAGCTGCCATTAGCCTGCATCAATAATGATCCAAACAATTGTCCATACATGATTTTGTGTCCTGTATTTCACTTTACCTCTTTGTTTGATTTGTTTTCACATAGTCAGATGAATGTGTCACTAAGACTAAGATGCCCAGATTTCAGTCAACTGCAATCTGAAAACAATGTTTTGTTAACTCTGAATTTCATAAGTTGCGATAGTTTATTGTGAGCTAACTGGATTTGGAACAAACATTCTACCACAAATAGTGTTTCAAAGTAGATGGTGACAATTTGTGATGGAGAGCGGAAAAGTGCCAGGAAGAAGTCGCTGAATTAGTTCCGAGAGAATTCTGTCAATTGCGAAATTCATGTAACACTGGACAAAAAGAACTGCAACATGCAGAAAATGAGGTTATTGTACATGCACATGCAAATTACAGCAGAAAAATGAAGAATACTGGTTTGTGAGTTCAAATAAAGTAGATATTCCGTAGATTAAATATTTATTAACAACCTTGTTACAGATTGTCACGATAATGCATAACGTGAAGATGCAGTATCTTTTTTCTCAAGTTTTTGTAACAGTAACATATATTTAGATATAATTTATATATGCATATGAAAGTTCATATGAGAAATTAAGATGAGTCAGCAGTAACCAGTTTATGGAAAACCCCTCTTACTTTGGTACCCAGTGTGTGTGTGTGTGTGTATGTGTGTGTGTTTATGCACACTCTGTAAGCGAGAGAAACAGAGTAGCATATATGTCTACTCTTTGCATTGAGCTGTGTGATTTCGTGAATTTGTGTGGTTGCAGTTGCATTTTAAATGCTTATACCCAGTCTGCAAGTATTTCAGTTGTGGCTTTGTTTATGTGTGTGTGAGAGAGATTTTGAGTCTACTGTTGTGTCATATAGTTGTTTCATTAAGTAGCCTCACTCATCTTTGGCTGTTAGTCAGAGTGCTTCTTCATCGTCTTCAACTCATAGTCAAACCCAGTGTACCAGAAGTGACCAGAGAAGCTGCTGAATGCTAAAACGAACGTCACACAGTATGATCTTTAGACAGCTGTTCACAGAAATGGGGTGTCATGACAGTATGAATATATCATTGTAGCAATGTGTTTAGTATGCCTATTACTAATCCAGTGCATCATGAGATATTTAAGTTACTTCCTAGTTTCTAAAGTCTGTAGCACTACATGACAGTTTAATTTAGCTACATTTCTCAAGCTCTATTTGCATTTCTCTCTCTTTTTTTCACACCACCTAATTGACAAAAGAGTAAACTGTAGCAGAAAATTATGAATTTCTGTGAATGGCTGACTTGATTAGTCTTTTTTTCTTCTTTCTGTGTTCTTCTGAAAATTATTACTATTATTATCAGCTCTGCCAGGAAACAGGGTCTGCCTCTGTGTCCCGTTCACACTGCCTCCTCGAAATGCGGTCCAAGCTGAATCAGTCAAATCTTATCTTACATGTTTCACTTTCCGTCGTCCGATCTGATCAGGTGTTAATGTGTTGAGGCTGTTAACTAAGTTTCTGATGACGTTACTAACCAGTACTCCGAATCTGAAGTCAGCAAAAATTGCAGCACATTACCTGAAACTGCTGATATCATATCCAGTTGAGTCAGCCCTCCTTTGGGGCATGAACCACAGTGGAACACCAGATTATATTGAATTTAATTACAAACTGACAAAAATTTGATGTGGATGCTAGTAGCTGTGAATCCTTGTGTGTTACAAACAATATAACTAACAATTATGCCTTTACATTTCTTTCACCTTAAATGTCACATTTTCTATGTTTTGTATGTGCATGTTTTGTGTCTGCATGGTTGTGCAACTGTGAACTTTAAAGGAAACAGATCTTTCTTTACAAATAGATTCACCACATTTGTCTTTCACTTTCACACCGGTTGTCTGTTTGACGGTGCGTGTGACTATGTGTTTTTGTGTAGCACTGAATTCTTCACAGGTGTGTTTCTGTTATTGTTTATGTCGGGTGGCTATTGTTATGTCAACATAAATGATAGTAATAAAGTATGTGTGTGCTGGTGTTTTTGAGTGTTTTAGAGTGACAGTTTTTCTCAATAAGGCTATAAAGAAAAGAGGAAACTATGAGAAATATCTATGAGATGTCCCAAGGTCATTACAATTGGGTTTAACTGTCCCATCCACTCACTCACTCACTCACTCACTCACTCACTCACTCACTCACTCACTTACTCACTCACTCACATGTTAGTTGATACTGTGACAAGTTGTATTACAGCTGATACTTAGATGGGCGGATGCCCGTTAACGGGATTATGCAGAACGGAAACAGCAACATTCTTGGAATTTCATCTGTTTCTTGTGAATGACCTACAGAGACCCCTCTGGACTTCACATGAATTCTTTAGTCATTTAACCCTCCTCCTAGTTCACCCATCATGGTGAATGGGAGCTGTATACTCTGACTCACATTGCCTACTTCACCCTTACCAATTATTAATTCATCTTAACAATTGTATATCTGTGGTAAATCTTGATCTAGATGAAACTCTGGTGGAAATAGGCAAATTTAAAATTACATGCAAATGTGACCTTAAATATGTACGAAAAAGATGACTAGAGACTTGCAACGAAACTTCCTTGTTTCTGCAGAGCTGAGCTAGCAGCATTAGACAAATGTATTGATGTGACCTAAAATTAAAGTAGCCCTGTTCTTCTGCTGACAAAGTATCTTTTTGGGTGGAGATGAAACTTTGAAATTACACAACATTCACTTTGATCTGGACTTGAACTGATTGTTAGTAACATCAGATCTAATCTACCTATATCTTTTGGGTACAGACAGTGATTGATACACTCCATTGTGATGCTTTAATGACACTTTATTCTCCATCTGTTTTTATGCAAGTACGTAAGCAAATTCATGCATTTGGTTATTAGCATATGTGCCTGTGATGGTGTTAACCGCACTTATGTAAGCACTGCTCATTATGACGGCTCATATTTTCCCATGGTGTTATAACATCTGAATGCTGCATCAGTGAAAGTTAAAAATAACACATTTTCTCAATGCAAGTTCAATGGTGAATCACAGTTTCATTGATTTATATTCATATGTAAAATTGCTGTAAAGTCTGTTGATGCTCAGATGTGAAACAATATAAAACCTGATATGTATGAAGGAATGAAAAGAGGACCCTCGGGAAACCTTCATATCCAGTCATCATACTGCTGCTGCTGATTACAATGTCGACTGTGTTATATCTGCTCAACTGTGCTGGATCAAAACACTTTGTTGTGACTTTTCACCACTACAGGGTTATAATGCAGAGCTGTCATCACATGTGCTGACCTCTATAGATCTGTCTGATGTTTTTGTTACTGTTGTGTGTTATTAAACAAGCTGTTTATCTTTGATGAATGAG